TATGTAAAATGACCTCTGTTCTGATTGGCTATCCTGTATTGCACCTCATTCAAAAAGCAGCGGGGGCCGAAAAAAATGGGGTCTTACAGAATAATGATGTATTTGTTTATAATCCTGGGAATCAGCCCTTTCATTTGATATTTGATTTGTACACATTGGTTGAGGCTCAATTTCACCTAATTATATGAATTATATATGAATAATATGAATATTCATGATTGCAATTCATTTTTGATAGTTCGTAGTTATGGGACATGACTTTGTAGCCAAATTTGTAGCCAAATTTTTATTAGCTTTCTTACAAATTTACATAACCCATCTATTTGACTCAGAAGAAGAGAGTTACAGCTTCCATACTCCACCTATCTTTTGAACGTAGCCTATGGAATATTAAAGTTATGAAGTAAAGAATATGACTGTGCGTTCTGGAACCACTGGTGGTTCCAATGAGATTAAGAGGCCGGGGAGTGAATGCTATATTTCGGATCTAAGAGTGTTTACATACCTCAAAACATTTCTTTAAAAGGCCCCTTATAACAGAAAAAAAAATTTCTCTCGCTTTTCTGAAAATTGTTTGAAGTCAAACTGTCAAAGTTTCAAAACCATTTACTACCCAGTCAAGACGGACCAAATAGGCAAAGCAGGCTGGTGAATTCACTGCTTCTGTGATGTCACAAGAACAACTCATTTACAAATGTCCACCTATTTAGCAGACAGCAGTTTAGCCCCGCCCATTACTGAAGTTATAAGGAGTGCTTCAGCTCTGAGCCCTTTTGAATGAGGTCCGGTCTATCAGAACAGAGCTTGATGATCTTATATCAGCCTTAAAGGAAGAAAATACAAGAAAAATGTACGATATGGGCTCTTCAAAAAAAAAATTAAACAAATGTGTGAAAATTTAGTTTTCCATGATGCAAGCCCTTTAAGAGGTTCAGGTCTGGTCCAAACTGACTGCTTTCACAGGCTCTCCTCTGACCACAGGCGAAGGAGGAAGCAGGTTTTGTAATAAGACCCAAGGCCGAGCCTGTTGAGGGACAATGACTGCGCTGACGGAGGTGAAAATGACTTCTAGTTCTGCCTAAAGTGCAGGCAGAAAGACGCTCTGAAGGGGATCTCGCACGTTGCATCTTCTTTCACTTTAATATTCTAAAAAGGAACTACAGCCTGTGGTATGTTGTGACAGAGTGAAGAGAGAGAGAGAGAGAGAGAGAGAGAGAGAGAGAGAGAGAGAGAGAGAGAGAGAAAGAAAAGCAGCACTGCAGAGAACAGCAGCCAAGATTACGAGGAACATCACAATGTAGTGAATCGTACTGAATCATTTCGGAACATACTGTAGTGAATCGTATCATGTGGTCACAGGGACAGTGTGTTAGCTTGTGTCTAGTGTGTCAGATCTAGGTTGACTGATCAGTTTGCAGGTAGCCCATTGGATCGTAAGACCACAAAAGCTTTTCTGCGCTGCTAAGAAACCTGAATGGATCAGGTAGAACTCCATTGTGCCTTTCTGCAGCCTCACATGTTTTCATTTATAAAGTTGACTGTGGTAGTTGGGGCGTATACGGACATAAAGGAACTGCTGGTTAGTGTTTGTGGTTAGTGTTAGCCTGATATGGACATCGGAGCTTTTCTGTTTTCTCTTGTACTGCCTGAGGAGCTGCCTGACTCGTTCAGCTGCATCAGACGGCGACGTGGTCTCAGGGCCTTCTGTGCAAAACAAGCCGTAGACCAGCTGATTCTGAAGAGTGAGCGTTATATTTTCAAGTCCAGCAATGTCTGGCCATTGAAGGGATGAGTATCCGGGACAATACTACTAACCCGAAAAACTCCAAAAAACTTGCCTCCAAAAAACTTGCCTCCAAAAAACTTGCCTCCAAAAAACTTGCCTCCAAAAAACTTGCCTCCCAAAAAACTTGCCTCCCTCAACAGTTCTAACTGTTCTTTTAAGTCGAATTCCAACACGGCTGATTTGGCTTCATATTCGCCAGCTTTTTGTTCAAACTTCCCGTTCCACCTTAAATGGTGCAGCAGCTACATTGAGGTGCCTGTGCAGGTGCCAGAAAGTAACTGGTGCTCAATTTAACGTGGAATAGAAAATTCAAACAAAAAGCTGGTAACTAGCCCCTACTAGCCACAAGCCTACAGGGGCTAGTGACAACTTTTTATTAATATTTAGAAATTTTAATTACAGTTTATACATGTTTGGCCATACTGCTGAATGCTCTAATAAAGTGCAAATGGAAACATCAAATTCAAATGATATTCTCTTGGACTGGATTACTGGATTAATTAACCAAATCTATAGAGACAGATCTACTATCTCTAACTTCGAAACTCTGAAAAACTTTGTGAGGTGTCAATCATGCTGAAAATAACAACTATGAAGCACGTACAACAAGATCATCAGGCGAGTGTGGGTGTCAATGCAGACGAATTAATAAATTAAGTCTAAACTGTCCAAAAAGTTGAACATAAAATGAGACACCAAATTGTTTAAAACATTACTCCACAGAATCCCTCAGAACAAATACAACCAAGGCAGACAGTACTGCTAAGAACTCTGGTAATCTGCACTAGACACAATTATTATCAGTGCAATATTTATATTATTTAAGACTTTGTGAGTTTCTACTGTTCTGGAAACTGGAAACTTATTTTTGAAAAATATATATTAGTGACCAAAGCACCGTTTAACCAATTATTCAAGTTCAGTTCTGTCTATACAAAATTATACTGGCCAATAGTATTGGTTATGAAAACTTTTAGCTAATAAAAATTGATGTCAGTGATATTTTTAACTCGTCAGGTTCTAATAAGTATGTCACCCTAATGTAGTGCAGCAAGTTGCACCTTGCGTTTTCACATGTGCTTGGGGCCACGTGGGAAAGCAGCATATGGGAAATTTCCCTTCTGTCTAGCTGACACATCACTGTTAAGAAAGAGGACAGACAGCCCACCATTTCAGTTATAGTAGGCAGTGCTTTTTGAGCTGAGTGGACTGGCGACTGCTTCTTTCTATGAAAGAGCTAAAATTATGACTAAGTGCAGCAGTAAGTGCTCTCTGAGACGCTGAAGTCTCTGTTATACAAGCAGGAGAGGACGCGCAATCTAATAAACCTGTAAGTGCAACATCAGTCTGCCTTTACAATTAGATTTAGGCTCTGACAAGCTACAAACTGCACTTAACGATGCTCGATATCCAGTGCCGGCTGCCTGGCCTGCGAAGAATCAAATTAACCCTAGACTGCACAATGTTGCCTCAGGGCAACAAACCCATTTTCCTTAATTTACGATAACATTATACGTATTTACGGACAATGACAGGGTTAACAATAAACAGAAGAGTTTGAGTAAGTGAATGAAAAGCATGTACCTGGTCATTCTCTCTCTTTAACCCTCTTTTTCAACTTTCAGCATCACTTTTTTTTTGCTATGAGAGTTTGCAGAAATATGTTTGTTGCCTAGAAGCAACATTGTGCGACAGTGGAATGGATTTGGCCAGCTACAAGCCAGGTCTCACCACCTCAGGGAACACAGCTCCATATCATGTCTTCCCAGGCAACATACCTCAGAAGCACCCCTGCACACACAATCTGGTCCATTTAATGCAAGAAAGTGAATTGAATAATTATTTATTTATTTATTTTAATTGCTCTCATAATGTGTGCAATAGAGGGTTAAATAAAAAAAAACAAACAAACAAAAAAAAAAACAATGCTCTGAAGAGAGATAAGCCTCATGCAATCAGAAAGCCAGACCCACATGTCAGCTACCAGCTGTACATGATAATGTTGAGATGTCAATTTAAAAAATAAAATAAAATAAAAAAATTGTCAGAATTCAGAAGGTGGCTGCCCACAACATTCACCTGCATGGTGATTTTTATATTTTACAGTAAGCTCCCTAAACCACATCGAAAAGTCTGCCTTAATGAAGAGCTAGATGTGGTCTGAGTGGGTTAATGCAAGTTTTGGGAATGTCCATTATATGGCCAAAAGTATGTGGACACAAAACTTAATTAGTTAGTTCAGGCGTTTCAACCACACCCTTTGCTCACAGGCCTAAATCAAGCATAGCCATGCAGTCTCCATAGACAAACACTGGCAGTAGAATGGGTCGAACTGAAGAGCTCAGTGACTTTAAACATGCCACCTTTCCCACAAGTCAGTTCATGAAATTTTTGCCCTGCTAGCTCTGTAGGTGAACTGTAAGTGGTATTTTTATGAAATGAAGTGTCTAAGAGCAACAACAGCTCAGCCACAAAGAGGGAGACCACACAAACTCAGAGTGGGGCCTCCGAGTGTCGAAGTAAAATGGGTTTCCATGGCTGAGCAGCTGCACACAAACCTAAGATCACTATGCACAATGACAAGCGCTGGACTCTGGATCAGGGGAAACGTGTCACTTCACTGTCTGGCAGTCTGAGGGCTGAATCTGGGTTTGGTGGATGCCAGGAGACGCTACCTACCGGAAGACGCACTGCAAACAGTAATGTTTGGTGGTGGAGGGATAATGAGCTGGGCGGTTTTTCAGGGTTTGGGCCCCTTAGTTCCAGTGAAAGGTGATGTTGATGCAGCACACAGACATTTTAGATCAATTATATGCTTCCAGATTTGTGGCAGCAGTTTGGGGAAGCCCAAATGCTCAGTGTCCACATATTTTTGACCATATAGTGTATTTATGGAAAAGATTTCAGGCAACTATTGATGTTTAGTGTTTGTTAGCACCATTAGTCTTGCAGCTCCAGCACTAAACTAAAGAAGAATGTAACAACAAACATTTCTTGACCGATTGATGGCATCTAAGGTAAAAGTGAAACTGGGTAAATTTGATTTGCCAAATCATTCCTTTAAGTTTTTAAGCCCTGATTCCTGCAGTTGTCCAATCAGACTACAGAAATTACTAGGCTCGCGTGTACATGACAAAAAAAAACGTGCACAATGGCTCTGCAAACTTGGTTGAGGCTTAAATCATAAATTACTTCACTGTAATGCATGACCTACCTCCAGCACAGGTCCAGCTCCAAGGATGGTCCTTTCCACGCCGCTGGCGTAGCCCTTCTGGCTGAGAGCCGTCAGGCAGTGGATGAGAAAGTTAGTGCTTTGTGTTTTTCCAGAGCCGCTCTCTCCAGAGATAACGATGCACTGGTTGATCCGTTTGCGCAGCATAGCATAATACGCGACATCGGCGATGGCAAAAATGTGGGGCTCCAGCTTGCCCAGCTGGTGGTTCTCATACATCTTGACATACTTGGGGTTGTAAATCGGGAGGAACTTAAAGGGGTTGATGGCGACGAGGATGCTGCCGGCGTATGTGTAGATCTTCTTCTTCTGAAAGCGATTGCGCAGGTTTTCCAGGATAGTGTCCTCATTGAGGAAAGGTAGGTTGCACAAGTCGTCAAAATCCTCATGGCGCGGAGGGAGGAACCCTCGGGCGACCAGCCGCTGGGCGTCTTTTTCCTTATACACAGAGGGCAGGTGCACATAGCGGATGGAACCGTCATGGTTACGCTCCTGAAGGAGGAAGTAGAACCCTTCGCTCTGAGGATGCTCCTCCTGAGCCTTCCGCGGCCAGAGAAGAACCCTGTGCACCGGCAGGTCTGTGGACTCTAGAACCCACTCCTCTCCGCCGCTCTCCTTCACCTCCGCCAGGACGTAACGCTTGGCCGTGTCCAGGCCCAGGCTGGCCGCCACGTCCTGGATAACCGTTGCTGCTGTGGCCTCCTTGCGGACTTTGAGCGTGAAACATGGCACCGTCTCCAAGGCGAGGCGGGGGTAGATCTGAAGAACGTAGGCCCGTCCATCTTGGCTAGCTGTCCCGTCGCCATCTGTGACACTCATTCTGACTCTGGGCGAGTTGTTTCAGCATTACGCATGGCCTTCAAACTCACCATCTAGCACCTGATTGAGACAAAACACACTGATTAGATGAGCAAACCTAACTGCAGCAATACAGTGGCCAGCAAAGTCCATTTAAAATATCATGAGAGGGAAAAGGTATGAAAATATACCATCACGTTATCAAACTAAATTATTACAGATTCAGATATATTTACTTAAAATACATTTAAAAGGGATTAAACAGCATTTACAATGAGTCAGTACTGGTAATCATTTTAGTCTAGGCCTAGGCTTAACCTGGATGTGGGAAACCAGCCCAAAAAGTTTAAAAAGCACTAACAGACACAATACATTAATTTCTCCACATACTGATGTGTAACTCAAGTGTTGAGTGGTGCACAGTGGTGAATGCTTTGCACAACACTGCAGCAGCACAGCGGTTTAGTTTCACTATGACTTTTTATAAATACACAACAATCTGTAAACAAATTTGGAAATATATAATTATCAGTGGGTTCTGTGTCATGGTATAATATGAAAAGCAAGTTCAAGTTCAAGAGGCTTTGTCGTCATTTCATCTATATACAAATACACAGTGAAACGAAACGACATTCCTCCAGGACCATGACGCAACACTGGAACAGGAACACAAAGTGCAAAACAATACAATATACACAGTGCAGACAATGCAGTGCAATAAATACGAAAGGCTCATAATAAATACAAAAACAGGGCACAGGCAGTACAGAGTGCTGAGAGTATGTGGAGCTGTGCAAAGCCGGATGTAACATAGACATATTAGCAGATAGCCTAGCATATATGAACATAGCAGTCACTACGGTAGCAACCAGAGCAGCAATATACAGTATACAGTATTTGGTTGACCTGTTATATAAACCATATATCAAATGCAATAATTATAAATAATTACAGAAAATATAATTGTTGCATTTCACACTGAAATACTTTACTTAAAATAATTTATTAATTTTACTTTACTTAAGCAGTAACAGTCCCATCTCTGATCATAAGCACGTTAGGACATTCATGAGAAAAGGTGGCAATAGAATATGTGCCATTAATGCTGCCAATAAACTTTAAACTCCGATCTTACCTGTCTGAACAGGTTATCATGCGATCACACAACCAAGATGTTTATTATACTGTGAGTGTTGGTCGCTAGAGTGTAACGATGCATATTTCTTCTGGTTTGATATGATTTTCCATGTAATATCAAGTCAAGACTTGATTTGGTTTTTGATAGCAAAATAGGCAAAATCTGTGGTGGTGGTGACGTTTACTAATGATTACAGTACAACACATTATATCGCTATAATCTTTAAACTACAATAATCTTTAAACTATAATCATCAGTACTTAAAGAGCAAAGAGAGCATATGGCCTGTTTAATTGGATTTGGTGCAGCGTGTTATGTGAAATGTTGAATAGCAATCACTGTTTTCATAATTTTTTACAGTATATATATATTTTAACCTCTTATTCTCCAGGGTATATTCCGTTTTTTTACATGCCCAAATAGTAAGGCAAATTATTCAGTAACTTCATGAAATAAATGTAAATTTTGTTGTTTTTTTTTTGTAAAAGTTCCCATCAAATGTGTTTTATGATCATAAACATAATGCTATACGCTAATCTACTGCTGAAAGCCAAAAATATTAGATGCTCTTTGTATTTATTATTTTTTTTTTTTATAAAAAAAATTTACAGAGCAGATCACTGAAGAAACGCTATCTGAGATCCAGTTTATAGCTCAGATTTGTGGAAAAAAGGGTCAAATTTCAGTAGGAAAAAAAAAAAATCTGAGTTCAGCTTCTTTTATTTCAAAGGTTTAAAACTATATTACCCATCTAACTGCCTGCAAAGAAGACAGTTACAGCTCTCATACGACCCCCACCTTCAGAATGAAGCTTATAAAATATGAAAGTTATGAAGTAAAGAATGTGATGAAGTGATGAAGGAGTTGAAAAGATTAATGTGGCACCAGTGGTTCTTTTTTGTCTGCTCAAACTAAGGAAAAAAATACATATCATGCATGTTGTGCATAAAGAAAATGTCTTGAAGTACTGCGATATGTTTTTGCCATATCGGACACCCCTAAAAACTACAAACCCTAAAATTTTTAAATGAAAAATTAAAAAGGTCTAGTAATTTGAGTGTGGGTGTGTCCTACTCCTCCCCACCCACTTTACTCTGCTAGGCAGAACCCAGATGCCTAGCTTTGATCACCAACAGTGGTTTCCATGACATTTTCAACATTAAACGGTATTAAAATCAGTGCAGCCTGGCTCGCAAATAATACCCAGTACACCGAGTTAAATCAGTATGAAACATGTCGAGAAAGCCATTTGATCCTTAACAAAAAGGTAACCGACAATAACGCCATTCCTAGCTGGTTTGAATGGAAAAGACCACATTCAGAGTCAGCTGGCAGTGAAACAGCAAGTTCTCTTTGGAGGTCTCTTTACAACAGACTTGTTTACACTATCCCTTGATCCAACTCGCAAGCCACCACATCAAAGAAGCGGCATCCACAACGGAAAACTGCCCGCCTCACCAATTTCAGCCGCCGCGCTGATCAAAAGACGCTCAGCGATTACGACGTCTCCAACTCTTACAGTTTTACCTCAAAAGGACCTACAGGCCCGACTCTCCATAATGACAGCGCACTGCTGGTTTGAATGGAACGGCGAAACGCTGCCAGACCAGGAGGAAAGCAGACGTTCAAAAAGGTTTTGTTCCCTTTTCAGAGTTTAGCCATTTAGGACACCACGCGGCTTCACCACGCGCCATTACCCATACAAAGAGGAGTCAGGACAATAAACCTGCATCCAGTCCATATTTTATTCAGAGATAGAACAAAACCACTTTTTCAATACCAATACTGGAGCCAAGGTTGGGCGATATGACAATATACATAATTATCACGATACATTATATCATGATACAATACAATATGCTTTTCTGAACATATTGCGTATATTATTTTTAGATCTGCATGTTTCGTTATAAAGAGAGCAAAATTAGTCTTGTTTAACTGAATTTAGTGCTAAATATTGAGTAAAAATCTGTATTCACAGTTTTTGATAGTATTTTTAAGATGTAGCTCTACTGGCTCTTTTTCTCTGTTCCAACTGCTCAGATGTCAGAAAAAATAAATAATACAGGGTGATTCGAAAAGATTAATCCGATTTCAAAAAGATTTATTTCACTTGTAAATCATTACAGATCAGTGCAGTGAACTGTAAATGGTTTAATGAGCGTAAAGTTTATGATGTAATTATAAAAGGTCTCAGTATGAACCTCCTCCAGCTGTACAGACATCAACGCCATAGTCAAATTCATCCCATACTGGATTGAGCATGTTGGGTGTCGCTGCACTCACGACTCTTTCAGTGCGATTTCGGGGATCATCCAGTGTTGTGGAACCAACGACGAACGCTCTGAGCTGTTGGAGCTTCACTGCCCACGAAAATCACACTGCACAGTTATGACGGATTCACTCTTATTGAAGTGGAGAACGCAGAACGCTTTCTGCTCAGGGGTCTCATCTCCTCTCAGACTGAAGGGAGCCATCTTCCACTGACAGTCAGAAACTCTATGACCCCCTCTTTCAGTTGGATTGTGATTGGTTCCTAGGCTCCTCAAGGTTGTAAAAACATGGCGCTTTGAAATCGGATAAATCTTTCTGAACCACCCTGTATTGCGACATAACGTGTATCATGAAAATTCTTTAAAGCAGCGCAGTATTATTTTTGCCATATCGCCCACCTCTAACTGAAGCTTTGAAGCTTTTTTTTTCCTCACCGTATATTTTTTACTTTAAAAACACTAAGGCAAAAGTAGCTGTGTCCCTGTAATCCACTAAAAATTGAAAAGTCTGATTGAAGCACTTAAACTTCAATGACTGTCACAACCAACAAAATTATTCATGCAAAAACTGCAGCTTTTATATTTATAAAAAAGAAACCGAAAACAAAACCTCTTTTCTTCCTGAGTACGCATCTGAAAAGTTGTCTCCTCACTGCTCATCTTGCTTCCTACGTTCAGCCAGCTCTGGTTTAATAGTTGTACCCAAGACCGGGCCTTGTTCCACAGATGATATATGTTTCTCCTCTGTTGCTTCTGTGGCATCGAGAGAGATGAAAAGTGGTGCTAGATAGTTACAGATAAAGATAGACAGGGATGCACCAATACCATGTTTTCCCTTCTGATACTGAGACACACACACACACACACACACACACACACACACACACACACACAGATGTGCTGAAGTGCCACTAAAAAGCAGATACCGATACAGTATCAGTGTAGCTCCAGTTGTTTTATCACCATCTGCTTGCTTTTAATTATAGATATTGACATTTGTTTCTACTTTGCATGTACTTCAATGGGTGTTACATTTAAATACGTAGAACATTTTTAAAATTACATTTACAAATAGAAAAATGCCAGTTTGGCCCATTAAAAAGCGATATATGTTGTTTATACTGCTAACAAAAGCAATGGAAAAGTGTTGTGTGTTCATTTAGCCCACACAGTGTGATCTCCAGGTTTATGCAAATTGTCGTTTCCTTCTCTTTTACATTTTTTTATTGCTTTGCCTTTATTTAGCCTTTCCTTTTGTGCAATCATTCTAATCTATGGTTAGTTCCAAAATGTACACAATCAAAAAAAAACTGCACTTAATGATAGGCTTTACGAACAGAACTGCAACAAACTAGGCCTGGTGCATGAGACCTGCTCTCCGGGAGGAAAATGGAAAATGCACATGTTTTGGCAGAAGAAGGGCCAACACGCCACAGAGAACCACTGGATGTTAGGAGTGTTACACACCATCTGTGCCAGCCAGGTTCATATTTGCATGGTAGATACAGTACCATCACGTAGATTTCATGCTACAGGGTCAGACTGTAATGCTCATGTGCTACTTCACAACTGAATCTGAATCACAATAATACTGTTTATCATTTTTGTGGACGGTATTCGTTTGTCTAAATCTTCCATCATCGTCCAAGCCTTCTGCCCACTGTAGTAAA